ACCGAGACAGCCAGGAGCTTCAAATGCGCCAAGATATTGCCGTCATTGAAACCGTCGCCTTTTCCGTCGAAGAAGTCAGACGCGTCCTCAGTCAAATAAAACCTGATAAGTCTCCTGGACCCGACGGAATTTCCGGGCCGATACTTAAGGAGCTATCAACGGAGCTGTCAAAGCCTCTTTCGGCTCTCTTTTAGCTGTCAATGAGAACAGGAAGGCTGCCCTCACAGTGGAAGACAGCTAACCTCGTTCCATTGCATAAGGGAGGTAACAGGATGACAGCAAGCAGCTTTAGGCCTATTAGCTTAACTTGCCTCCCTTGTAAAACCATGGAAGCTATAGTAAAGAACGCTATACAGCAATTTTGTGAAGAAAATAACATCTTGCAGGATTTTCAACATGGCTTCGGAGAGGACGTTCCTGCCTCTCAAATCTGCTAGCTTGTCTGGAGATCTGGACCAGGGCTCTAGAAGAGGGTTTTGTGGTCGATGTCGTATACATAGATTACCGCAAAGCCTTTGACACTGTCCCGCATCAACGTCTTCTTCACAAATTGAGCGCCATCGGCATCCGGGGAGATCTTCTGAACTGGATTAGGGCGTTTCTGGTTGGTCGGAAACAACGTGTCTGTATCGGGGATGATATGTCAGAATGGATGAATGTAACCAGTGGTGTGCCGCAAGGCTCAGTTCTGGGACCATTGCTCTTCATCCTTTACGTTAACGACAGCCTTCAGGAACTCGACTGCGGCAAAATAATGTTTGCAGACGACGTTAAGCTCTGGCAAGTCATTAAGGGTCCGAATGATCATAGATCCCTTCAAGATAATCTGCACCGACTGCAAGCTTGGTCGAAGAAATGGATTCTAGATTTCAATGTGGAGAAGTGTGCCGTCCTTCATCTGCGTCCAACCAACTCTCATTCAAATGAGAGTCTGAGGACATATCACCTGAAAGATATAAGGCTCCCCGCAGAATCTTCACAGAAGGATCTCGGGGTTTGGATAAAGAACAACCTGAAACCAACACTGCAGTGCCACAAGGCTGCAAAAAACGCCATGGGAGTGCTGCATGCAATAAAAAGGGCTTTCGTTAACTTTGACCAAGACCTTTTTGGGAGAGTTTACGACACATTTGTTCGGCCCCACTTAGAATATGGCATACAAGCATGGCGGCCGTGGCTAGTAAAGGACCAAGCACGCCTCGAACGAGTACAACGGCGTGCAACAAAGCTGGTAAACGGTCTAACAAGCCAATCCTTCACAGAAAGACTGAATTGCCTTAATTTATTCCCTCTGTGTTACAGGCAGCAAAGAGGTGATCTTATCCTCGTCTACAAGATAATGCATGGCCTTGAGTATGGACTTAAGTTTGAGGACAGGTCTCAGTGCCACCTTTCACCGAATCTTCGTGGTCACTTGATGAAGTTACGGGCAACAATGTCCAGGCTGAATCTTCGTTCTGAATTTTTCACGCAGAGGGTAGTAGAGAAATGGGACGATCTCCCTCGGTCAGTCGTGGAGGCTACGTCCCTGCAACTCTTCAAGAAAGGCTTGGATGATTATTTGTGTCCCCTGTTTTCCCTCGACAGTCTGAATCTGAATTAATACCCCTGGTCCAGACAAATATTTTCTCTGAGACAATGCTACTCTAATGAACCAAGTACTGTTTTAATAGTGAACATTTTTTGTTAGAGTACAGTTATTTCTAACGAGCTGACATGTAATCAATAGGGTTTTCAAAGGCTTTGCCTATTATCCTTACCAAATAAACTGAATAAACTGAAAGTGCGGCCTAGACCACTAAAAGTCGTATTGCGAGATGAGCAGCAAGCAAATCTCAGCTTGTCGCGAAAGTCCAGGCTTCGAAACAACCATAGTAGAGTGTTTTTTCAGTCGGACGAATAAAAATGAGGACGCTGGTAGCGGAACTGAGAAAACGTCAGAGCGAGGGCGAAGTGAGTCTGAAAATAGCAATCAACCAAATTGTAAAAATAGAGCGTTCCTTTTTGTGGAATCATCCGGTGACATTGGCGGTAAAAGCACCGGTGCTGGGTTCCGATAAACTTCAGTAAATTTAGAAGCGACTATTGGACTTGTTACGCCATGTGAAACATGCAGTAATAATTATGAGTCAAAAGCACCAGCAAATAATTTCCACAGATCTAAGCAGCCGAATAACATAAAAATGATGTACACAAATTTGCAGAGTTTATTCAACAAATTGGATGAAATAAAACTCACCGTGGTTCATTTCCAACCCGACTCAATAGCTTTAACAGAAGCATTGTTAAATGAGCAGATAGAAGGTGCGGAAGTTATGCCAGATGGTTTCCAGATTCTCCGAATGGACCGAAACGAACGAACGGGTGGGGGATTGCGATATTTATACGATATGGCATCGACTACGTCAGGGTTGAGTCTTCCTCATTTCGGCAAATTGATTGCGAAATACCCAGTTGTTACTTGAAGGTGCCAAACCATCCAGGCCTCCATATGGCCCTGGTTTACAGACCGCCAAGCCAGCGGACGGATGCGAACGATGCAGTTATCACCGAGATAAAATAAATTTGTCGAAGTAAACGCATAATGCTACTTGGTGACTTCAACTGTCCAGACATAGAGTGGGAATTGATGCATTGCACGCGATCAGAAAACTCCTTCGAACAGAAATTTATGCAACTGATCACAACTGAGTTCCATACCCATCATGTTAAAATGGACACTCGATTCAGAGATGGACAGCAGTCCAGTTGTTTGGACCTCATCATCCCTAGGAATGATAGTTGCATTCACGGACTGGAATCGCACACGCCCCTTGGCCGAAGTGACCGCTGCGTTCTTGTTTGGGAGTATAGTCATTTTTATGTACCCGAATTTCGAGCTGCTGAGGAAAGAAATGCATGGAAAGGGGATTATACCTGAATGAAAAACCTGCTTCAGAGGGTGAACTGGAATGCAGCACAAGGACCTGACCCAGAAAGCGAGGGGCTCTTCTTCAAGAACATAATGCAACACTTGGTAGAGATCTGTTGCCCAAGTAAGAGGAAGCTGCGCACTTCCCGACCAGAGTGGGTAACGTCAGAAATAAAGAACCTTAAATTGAAAAGGAGACTTTGGAAAAAGTACGCCAGATGTCAGAAACTAGAGCATTTCGTTGACTTCAGAAAACAGAGGAATGTATGTCGGAATCTGTTGATGAGGCAACGGGCACAATTTGAGTCAAAACTTTTAAAAAAGATTTCGCAACAAAATTCATGTACATGACCATAAGCCTATTTTCGGCGACCTAAATAGTATAAAAATTTTCCCCTTAACTTGCAAAGCCACAATATTCGTCTCCAGAAAAGATGTCATAAAACTACTTCATATGCATGGTGATTATTATAATTTTGACCACTAAATTAGTACGAAAATTTCCTGTCTGGTTTTGTAGCAGGCAGTCATCATAACCGGTCTGGCGTCATTGTTCAAGACCTGGCTGCCCCAAAGTCATTGCAGCGAGCCGTTCAAGACGCGCTGACCTGAAGCCACTCGGCCGACAGCTCGAGCACACCTGCGTCCGCGCAATCGCAGCTGCCCATGAGGCCACTTGAACGTACCGCCCCCCTGCGACCAGCAAAACAAGCCATTGGGACACCACTTCTCGGCAAATGCAACACACACTGACTGGACACCACTTGAGCTTGGCCCACGAGCCTACAAGAACGGCTGCCACTACTACCTCAGGGACTATCAGGCATGGCTGGATGCAGTCAACACCAGTCCTGGCTTCGCCAGTGGCCACTGTCGTCTGAGATGACAACTCCGGGTTCTGTGAACAATAAACCCCCATTCCCGTGCCTTTTGTCTTTCTCCCTACAACCTGGGATCTGACCCGACGATGGCAGCGCACAGACAGAGATCACGCATTCACACCGCTTGGTCGCAACAGGTTATAAACCGATTTTCTCCTTTGTCTTCAGAAACCTATCGTTGCGAATGAAAGGAAATGGCAACTCCAGACAGGCAATTTGTGCCTTGTACAAAGTTCTCATATGCCTTAATTGTTCTTCAATTCCCCAAAAAACATTTTCATGCTTGCAAGCATTTCCTTGTGTAATTAGTCGGACGGGATGGGGCACCCGAGGCTGGGCGCAATTGGGGTCGGTTTTCTATCATTTGTAGTGGCCTGGCAGCCCATTTACGTCCGGGGATGGATTCGATATCGAAAAAGGGAACAAGAAAGAAGTGCGAACGCGAGTCTCCCAGCGCATATTTTCTTTGAGGAGGTCGACGGGGCCACGCCAAAACCCAGCCTGGTGATCCAACCTAGCCCAGCCGTAGCCACCTCAAGCCCAATCGGACCAGAGCGAACCAGGTTGAGCTGGTGCCATCAGGCGTGAGGACACCCCTTTGTGTTCAAATTGTGTCCATCTTCGATAACATTACCCGATTACTGAAATTACCCTACTAAATTTTGGATTAACCATTTCCTGTATAAACTTTTGGCTTAAACTTAAGTATATACGGCATTTTTGTGCGCGCTTTTTTCCTTGACCCTACAAAGTCCGTTGGTTCCTGTTACATATTTTTGTTAGTTCCTCTATATTTATGCTGGTTTGAGTAATCGCCCTTCGCTTGCAAAGGGTTACTTTCGCGGGAATTCCAGCTTTTCGATAGGCTTTTGAGGAAAAATCGCCTATATATGCTGGAGTACTCTCGTCTGACTATGAACTCGTGGATCAATGGACTCCATCCCTAACATCGGCGTTAGTTATCATCCATTCAACAATTTACGGCACAGTACACTTTTCTGTTCAGCTTTGGTCCCATACCTGATGCGGTTTATCATACCATGTCCAGAACTATCAAACAATTTAAAATTCCCGATTTAATCTTTGACCTCTTGCGTCTTTGAATACTAATAACGAACCCCTCACTTACAATTGGTTCGTTGAAAGTTGGCCGCTGTTCCATAAGCCCGCCTGTTCGCAGTGGTCCCGTAGACGTTTCGACGCTCACAATGGATCCCGCCTTGGTGAAAGAGCGCGAGGCGTTCTTGCGCAGAGCAAGAACCATGCAGTATGTGGAGAACTCGCGCGTAACTCAGCAATCTGCATCGTCGTCACTGAAAAGTAGTAGTCCTGGCCCATCCCCTGCTAAACGCCCTGCAACAAACCCAGCTCAGAGAGACTACCTAACAATGGACACTCGTCCTCAAAACCAAGGCCGATTTGCACTCCTGTCAAAAGTTGTAAAATATATGAAGGTATCCGTTTATATTAAGGGTTTAGATATCATTTAGCAACGCCATTTGGAGCGTGACATTCACCCTCTTTCCGTCGAAGAAATACTGGAAGAAACTATGCTCCAGGACTCTCCGTTATCAGACGTTAAGTGGCTTGAAACTGAGGTATTTTATGATTAGTATGCAACTAAGTCATCTTCCGACTCCTGTGTATCAGATGGTTTATCCGGTCGTGTTTTCTGTCACTCTATACCCTCATATCTTGATTCGCTTTTCAGTCGACTTGATTACAACCCGAAAGTCACTTTGCTTAGACCGTATTTGTCGTCCTTTTCTATTCACGTGATTCGATTGGAGCCACTTTCCAAGGCTGAGATCAACTCATCCTTTCGAAGGTTATGCCAGCGCATAGTTTCGCTTTAATCTCGGAGTGCTCCTTCCCCTACTAGTTGGGTTTATTGTATATTTTGCGTTGGCAGATAGGACCGCTTAGTTTTGTGTTGCAAATTTGAAGGCAGACCATAGAAAAGTCTTCGTGTGTTTTAAAAAGTATTTTACCGTGTCCCCCCGCTCGCAAACTATCCCTGTCCGAGTCTCATAATTGTCCCGTAACCAACTCTTGTCCCTAGGCGGTTTGATATTCATGTCTACTATCCTAACCACGCATGTTACCTGCATTCAGACATATGAACTGTGTGCATGGACAACTTGACGAAAAGCTTGTGGACAATAACCTGGTCTTGCCCCAGGGCTCCACTCTTGGACAAACGATGGTTCACACAGCTGCACCATTTTGGCACTGCAATCAGCCTGTCATTCATTTTATGGGTTCATGGTTAACGCAAGCGCGCTCCAAAGGAGCCTACCAGATGGCTTTTTATCGATTCGTTGGATCTAGACGTCGCCCTACTAATCAAATCCGTGGCTTCTTGTCAGAGGCGTTGAAGTTGCGCGTTGAGGCCCCTGGCGTCTATGGCGACGCCTCACCCATCATTACGGGCGTAATAAAATGTTGTTAACAAGACTTCGATCAAGAATGCGTATCATCCTGAGTGTAAAATGTTGTGATGAATCATACTGTCATTGCTTTTTGCTTTCCTGGGTGTGAATGCGCGGACCACATATTCGCATCGAAACGCATTCCTGAATTCCGCCATAGCTACCAACAACCGATAGCCGCCTGATTTGTTGACTTGGACGTTGCGTTCGAGCCCGTCCGTCATGAGTTCCTGTGGAGAATAATGACATTAGATATTGTGCCGGCAAAAACTATCGCCATGACCAACACCCACTACCGATTCACCTCTGCGCGAGTTTTGGTCCATAACAATCTGTTCCGACCATTCCATATTCGGTCTCGCGTTCGGCAAGGTTGTATCCTGCCGCCAATTCTATTCGACTTCGGGGGGACCATACACGAAGTTGACTGTGTAGTTTGCGCCTGAACGCCGGCCGTCTGACCCAGATTGTGCTATTAATATCGTCTTGATAGCCTCAAGCTTTAGTGACTTACAGTCTACGGTGTCATGAGTGAGGGAAATTGCAAAATTCTTCGGTTTATGCATAGACGCTGGGAAGAAAAATAGGTTTCAAAGCTGCATCACTGGTCAGGGGAAGGTACCTCTCGAGATTAATGGCTGCCAACTTTAAAAAGTAGACAGTTCCAAGTATCTCGAGGCGAGACTGTTTTCGAATGAACAGAGTAAGGATGGTATTTTCTCTCGAATCGATGCTTCTCGCCGGGTTTTCCCGAGCCTTAGAAAGTGTATTTGGACCCAACACGACATCGCCATTGCCACAAAGATCTGCGTATGCCGTGCATCCCTCCGGTAAGTCCTCTACAAATGTAAATAGGGTGCTGCGTGCGTGAAAAATAAGTGAAAACTTCTGGCGTGTGACCACTGCCGCTTGAAAACCACCCTTCTAGTGAATTATACCGACCTAGTTTCAAGTTAGGCAGCCCGCACTCGCCGAGCTATCTCGAGAATATCCCAGGCCACCAAGAAAAACGACTGAGCTCTATGTTGCAGTCCTCGATTCGGTGCCGCTATGCACTTGGTGGCGTCGAAGAAGGGGTCAACTCAAAACCTGACCCGACACAGTCACGCAAGACATGGACTTTAGACCCTGAGCATTCGGTACCCGTCACTAAAGAAGAGAATGGGTTGAGTTGTGCACATCCGCTGCCTCAGATCATTACGTATAGATAGGCACCAGTCATGGCATCATCAAGGCCGGCTAGATCAGGCATGATCACAGCCGTACCAAGTAGAAGCCGTCTTTCTTTGATGACCTGGAATACCCTGACGATGTTGTCTCAGTTACTGCGGACTGTCTCATTCTAGACAATGTCGCTATATTTCCCTCAATTTTTGCCTCTTAGGCGACAGTGATCTTACACCGAGTTTTTGCCTGTTGGTAGTTTCTGACAGAGACTGAAAAGGTCTGTTCCGAAGGATTTTTCTCAAGTTCGCGCATTTATTTCCTCGTAAATTAAACAAGGCATGCTTAAAACTGGTGTTCATATGCCACAAAACACACGGAGAACGCTGGGGACCCACTGATGAACCGAACTCTCGCAGCTGCGTCAGGCAGCAGCTAGTACCTGTGCTGTCAGTATAGTAAATAATTACCTCTATTTCTTGCTCATACGCGTGCACAGCTCATCATTCGCAACCATATAGAGTTGCCGACCATACGTGGGTCTTCATGATGATGAATATATCGCATCGGGTTCTTGGACACTTTCCGGCAAATGTGAAGACTTCATACGCAACATTAATTTACAGTGTTCGCTACATGGTGTCAACAAGAAGAGTAGTGTGATCTACACTGACCTGGGGCGAGATGGGAGTTCATCTCCCGGACCTTGATTTGCCGAGAATGTAGGTTCATGATCGCCCTGTCACCGTGCCGTTATCAGACTTTGGGGTATTTTATAACTCAATTGGTGTGTTAGACCCCAGCCGTCCGCGCTGGTAACGCTATCGCTGCTGGTTCGTGACTGCTTATTCGTCAGATCCAAGAGCCTGTTTATTTGGCGGCTAACCTGCTGTTCGCCGCCTATGTGTGCGCCAGGTCTTGTTACAACTCGAACTTTTACCAGGAGGGGGGTAACCAACAACGATGCACAAATTTAACCATCTAATATGTCATCATTGCTGCCACTTTCTCATTCGGTAGGCGACAGTTGCTTCTGACGCGTCATCAACAAAGAGAGGATTCAAACTGAAACACATTGCAGAGTTTATCAGCAAGGGTCCCAAGCCACAACAGCCGTCGCTAAAAAGGCTGCATCTCTACGAAAACATTAAACTGACTAATAGTGTCAGAGACTGTCGTTGTTGGGGCAACATCCACACTTGTGTCTTTAAAAAATACATATACATGGTTCACACTATTCTGGGTTAGCGCTACCATACATCCTAATTGCGCTTCAAGGAACAATGCTATTTTGAAGATTATCTGGCCGAACAGTCCTCCCGCCCCAACCAAAAAGAGGGGGCTAAAGCGTGGCGTTAACGCCAAGGTGGATCACAAGGCTCCGATGAAAGGAACACTGTTTCCTACTCCTTTATCCGCCAAGTCTGATACATTAAGCTGTTCTGGGGTCTCAGAGCGTTTTGCCATCCTACTGAAATTGTAACTGCTGCCGATTTTCCTCAGTTTAGATCTCTTTTGCTATGTCGGAGCTGATGTATAGCGAGCCACTTGCCGCCAAAGCATCATCATTAAAATGCGTACAATTATTAGGCCACTCCGGGTCGGCTTTATGGCCAAAAAGTTTGCCCCCAGATTGTAGAAGCTACATTATCACATTTTCCGATAAAAACAGCAGATCACCATATGGGAGCTACCGCGACATCAGTCTCCGATGCCGCCACCAAGGCCTGTGGAATTTCCATCTTAAACCTCTCCCTCTTGTGCCACCACGTACAAATAGGAAAAAAATGCATTTTCGATCGGGATGCGGTTGTTTGAGTCAACAGTTTTCGATTCAACGGACCCTCAGACATCATCGTTGTCATCATCGGAGCACTTTTTGGGTTGCGTTAATCCCACCGACTGCATTTTCATGTGATGGCATGGCAGGGCTTTGTCCCGACGTCAGCTTCAGATTTCCTCGTGCAAGCTGTTTATTTGTCCGACAGACTTCTTAATGCGAGTTGGCAAATCGCCCTTGCGTCCGCGCGCCTCCTGTTCCGCTCTTTACTGATCCTGCCTATGATATCGATGATTGCCTTACTACCAAAAGCAGATGAAATGACAGTTGCAATAAGTTTCGCAATTTGGCATCCAGATACGAAGATGTTTGTGTCCGACTTCTTTCTTGGAAGTATCTGTGTCAGAATCTCTATCAAAAACTCAAGCCGAAATCATGGGGAATTTTCTCCGCGACAAAAAGAAGACATCTGGTGCATACAGCGTCCACTGGATGCTGCGGACACTATTCCCAGAACTGTCCTGACGTCGCATTTAACAGAAACAATGCGGCTCCGTTTTACGCTCTTTGCCGTCGACTCCAATGGTTAGCACATGTTCGGTGCCGTCCCAAAATCATAATTCTCCGGATCGTTATTCCGCCCAAATTCAGCCTTGAGTGGCGATGCTTAGAACTTCGGTAAACGGATTCTGCCTAACTCTTCGGCCACACGGATTGTGAAGCTGGTATGCAAGTTATCGTGGAAATCTGCCATAACCAGAGGCGGGTGTTAGAGATGCGGTCAAATTACATCATCGTGTCGTCATGAGAAACGACAAGCGTCGCAGTTACGGACTAAGCTGCGCGATTTTGTGTCCAAATGTTCCTATTCTGCACAGCTAACGTACCGGCGTTCAGCAGCCTGACTTTTGGAAACGATTTATTGGGATCGTTCCTCCTCGTAAAAAGAAATGGCACGTGGAGGCGACTGTTTTGCCCACCCACACAGACGGCCGCACGATATCTAACACCACGTTCCCTGCCACAAAAAGCATAAGATGCCTCTAAAATATTATGACACATCACCAGTTGTTGCTTTGTGTGTTACCAAATGACACGATAACTCGGTCCTCCTATTAACTAAGACTCGGGTGGCACCAACTTCTTCGTAAGGTGGTCTCTATTATACGTCTCTTTTACGAGAGACCTGAGATCCCCTGGAATGATGGTCAAGCTGTCTTAATACTCATTTTATGGC